TTTCTATTCGTAAATGACGTACGACTAACATATATTTCATTACGAAAGCCCTGTTGCTTCGTTGTGAAAGCTCCGCAACCGTTACGAACTCCCTGTATTAATCGTTACGATCGCCCTGTAAATTTCGTTACGACATCCCTGCATTTTTGAATATGCCTATTTTTGGTGTTACGAAAGGTGTGATTTTTGCAATTTGTTCAACGCGTCACGTGACGAGTTGAAACGCTCTCAAACGAGTGGTTTCAGTTCATAGCTTTGCATTGGCAAGATACGTTGTTATGGTTAATGATTAAGGTCGAGCAAATGCTCAATTGGTCTATGTTCTTCTATTGCTTTGTAGTTTCGAAAGAGAAAGAGACGTTAAGAGAAAAAGAAATGTTGCCGTTTTTTCAAGTGAAGAAAAAGTGCATGAAAAAACATAAAAATGTTTTTAAAAGAGAATTGAAAAAATTCCAAGAAAAAAAAAGAAGAAACAATACGTTTTTTTCGTGTTTATGCGTAGAGAAATGTTTTTAGGAAGTGTAACTAAGTAATGTACTTGCAAACCGAGTAGAAAAATGAGAGACGAAATCATAAATATCACTACTGCTCTTTTTCTTAGTATACGCTCAAGGCCTATTATATATCAATTTTGTTGTATGACAGACTTTCTCAATCCTCAAATTGTAATAGGTCAATGACCATGACAATGAAGCGTTAGGTATTAGTCGCATTAAGCGCTTTCCACAAACTTTCTTTGTCGTAGGATTTGAGTCTTGAATGAATAGTATGATTAGGATCTTATAACACTAGGTGTACTACTCGACTAGTCACTACTTAGTAATCATGTACACTTGAAAAGGGTGTGAATGTGGATGTAGATGTAGGTGTTAGTTTCCTTGTAACTGACACCCACACCCTAAATATTTTTAATTATATGTCAAATTTAAATACATTTACATCGAATATTTATTCATTTATTTACTTTAATTATCAAATAAAGACATTCAAAAATGTTAAATATAATAAAATTATTTCTTGTATTGATTATTTTCCAAAAGTAGAAGTAATTCAATTTCATATATATTCATATCTATATGAATTAAAACATTATGATACTACAACAAATAATTTTCCAGATGGATTATCTAAATGTTATCGTAAAATATTATTATGTGATGAACGGTCATTTGAACATGAATTTTTTCTTCGTATTTTTCAATCATTTCCAATATTAAAAAAATGAACTGTAGTCAATCAAAAACGACAAACAGCAAAAAAAGGCAATGAAAATCTATCGATCATTCAATATCTTCCTCTTACTGAGCTTGATCTTATTGTTGCTCATATTGATAATGTTCAACGATGTTTATTTGTCAGTAAAACATGTTTATCAAATAATGTTTTTCTTTTTATTGATAATCAACTAAAAATGTATTATAGCTTTTATTTATTTATTTTTTAAATAAAATTGTTTAAAAATAGATTGTTGTTTTTTTTTAATTAGAAAATTAATAAATATATTCTTATTTTATAAGTCAATATAGATAACGGAGCGTTCATGTATCAAACACAGCAGTATAGTTAGGAATCATTTTAAAAAATGAAATTTATCGACGAAACTGTCTTGAGAAGTGTTTTACCATAGACAGTGCATAAATTTATAGTATTGTTCAAGATCTATACTTTTTTTTTGAAATTTTACAATGCTAGATTAAACTTGTTGATGTTGCACTCAATACTAGTTAATAATCTTTCTTTCAAAGAGAAAAAAATACGACTTATCACTTTCATCACTTAATTTCATTGAATTTTAATAATTTTTCATGAATTCTAATAGTTTTAAATGAAGTTTGATACAGTCGAATAAATCTATTCTGCAATGTATTGGAATTTATTTTTGCTTCGTTGGATTCGTCTTTATATTCGAAATAACTCATGCAATCAATGTCAATAATCATTTCATCGACAGTTTATTTGTTGGTGTTATTTTCGGTGACTGCTGATCATCTATGATTGAGTTTGCAATCAAAGTTTCGGAACTCTTGCTATCTGAGAAATGAAGATTTATACCATTGTGTACCGCAAGACTGTTAGCTCTAGGAAATCACTAAGGCACACTCGATCAAACTTTCGTTTATAGCATAAGACGAACATTATCAGAACTATTCATTGCACTAAAAATATCATTCTGATTTCATCAAATCGAAGAAAAACAGTATAAACTTTGCATATCACTGTTTCTTCTTGTTTCATTCTATTCAATATTAAGTGAGATTTAATAGTGTACAAAGATATATTAGTTTTCTTCGGTTCGAAGAAATCAGGTTGATAATTTTAATTCAATGAATAGTCCTAATGATGAATGAGATGAATCTTCATTTTTTCAAGTAGCTGTAGTTACGAAAATTTCAGCAAAAACTTAGTCATTGGTAAGCAGTTTGTGATACAATTTCGAGACCAAAAAAACTCAACGTAATTCGAGATTCCTGTTAGTTGCTGTGAAGTCTATGATACGTCCGTTCCATGGGTACATAAAGAATAATCAACAATGAAGAATGCACAGAGACTGAACGAGAATTGGGGTATTTGTCGCTTTGATTAACCTGATTGACTCCATATGTAGGTAGGTTAATCTAAGTTGAATAGTTTACCATAAAACTCTCTTAGGAACTCATACATTCTTTGCACAGAAAAATACTCATATCTGACAACTAATCTTCGGTCTCAACAGATACCTATTACGCTGGTTTATGACAAAGAATGAGTTCGTGAGTCAATATAGTCAAGATGGATACTAATTCATATCAAGATCAAGACTAACAAAAAGATCTGAATGTATGTCTCTAGAGAAAAAGAAACACCCTTCTCCATACCCACAACATAAAAGTTGTTCTCTTGAGAATGATTATGTTTGATGAAGTTTTTGATTTGTTACTAATAAAAATCAATCGACTCATTCATACGAAATAATTTTAAAAAATTATTGAAGACATTAACGGAGATGTAACAACATTCTATACATAAACCGATTCAACTCGAGTCACGAAAAACACACTTGATCTCTTGTTTGTATAAATCATGTACACATGAGTGCCCTAGAAAATAATTCTAATAGATTTAATGAACGATTTGTGTCTGAATAGATTAAAAAAACGATATATGGAAAAAATTGTTATAGTTCCGATTTAAGAAAACTGTTTGAAAAGTCTTTTTTTTGTGAGGCTAACTAATATATTCGAATAGGTATCATTTATAAAGTTATGTTTTTCAGAAGTTGTCGTAACAAAAATTAAAATATTTGAGCAGTTTCTCTGGCAAGAACGAATGAGCACTTTTCAGAAGCTATGGCAGGATTAGTTGAAGTACAACTTGAAAAATTATAATTAATTAGTTAACTTTGGCTCCATCATATGTATCCACTATAAAAATTGATATTGATTATACCGCAAATGATCAATACTTTCTCTTTACAGGGTGATTGAAATCGATCTCAATGGGAGATTAATGGACTAGAAAAACAATTCTTGAGAAGATTTTCGACATAAAATGTTTTATTTAGATAGTTTTTTTATATTCACCGAACAGAAGAGAATAAAAATGTACATGAGTATTCTCTTGAATGTGATTATTGTTTTTATAATTGTCAAACAAGAGAAAAAACATAATGTAAAATGTAAGTTAGAAATAAATATTAATCATTCCAATAACACTAGCTTCCATTTCATATAAACTTGAGTTTGAGACAATTTGTGTCTATATCTCTACCTTTATATTATAACAGCATTACCGAAACTTGTTACATTAAAACTTCATTCTTTATTATTATTACAAGAATGAAATTAATGCGAGAAAGAAGTAAATGTTTTTATTAGTATCCGATACAAATAAAACGACGAAAATTTACCTTGAAAAAATAATCGATATTTTCGATTATTATATTCGTTCTTCATGTTTTCGTATTTCAACAGAAGATGATCAAATGATTGACAAAAATGATTGTCTATAGAAAAACTATTTTTTGATTATACAATTACACCTGTTATATGATGATATCTATCTACAATGGAGATGGTTATTATGGACTTTGTATTCCTTTTTTTTTTATAAAATTGATGAATAACCCCAACTGGCCTTTTCGAGAGGTATTTCGACGCCTCGATTTTGCACTGTCGATATCTCCTAAGATACCCATCGCCGAGCCCTCGACCCATCGGAAAATGGCAATCCGAGGGGTCGATTTGAAATTTTCGATCTCGTGCTTCTGCTAACTATCAATGTACCTGCCATCAGGCTCTGGACCCATCTGAATTTCAAATCGACCCCTCGGATTGCCATTTTCCGATGGGTCGAGAGCTCGGCGCACCCCTCGCATGTCTTTTTCGGCTCGCTTGGGAATAAAACGAAACTTTTAAGATAGATATCCAAAAGATCAAACGATATAGATTGTTGAAATAACTTCTATCAAGTTTGCATAGTCATTTGAATGTATATATGGTTAAATGATTATTATACTTTGTTTCCTTTTTCTGTCCGTAACTTTTCCCATCGGACGTTAATCTTGACGGCCTATTTTTCTTTGTTCTTCTTTTGTCTGAACAGCATATTAAAGCATATTTAAAGTGCAGAATTCATATCATAAATTCTCATTTAATTTCGATTGAAACATAACTATGGATACACTTAAACGAAAATTAAGTTCTGATGATTTATCAAAAGAAGAAACAAAGAAATTTCGCAGTAAGTTATTTACTTCCTTTGTATTTGCGAGAAAGTTTTTAAAACATTCGTTTACTTGTAAGTTAATATACATGTAACTTCATACAAGTATTTAGTTTTTTTCGTTTATCGACATGTAATTATTTATTGTTCTTTAAAATATAATCGTTCTTCTATAACCATACACTATACTAGCTCAAGCATTCATGTACATGGGTGTCCAAAGGCTATCGAATAATCATTCTATATGTCAGTTTTCATTAAATTTCTAATATAAGTAAATGATTGAATGATGAAAAATTTCATCTAGTAAAACAAATTATGTATGTTTGAATTTTATCTTGAAAAAAAAAACACTTGCGTGTTCATGTAATGTTTGTGACATTGCTTTGTTTTTTTTTGAGCAGTCTAATATTGTCTTACATGTACACATACCAACAATATTACGTCTATACGCGTTTGACTGAGCTAATGGTTATAAAGTTACTTATATTCTTTTTTTTTTATTATAATAGATGAATTCAATCAATCAATGACTTGTTTCGAAGATCTATCAAATGAATTATTATGTGAAATATTTGATTATCTTAATGGATATGAGTTATGTAAAATATTTTCAAATCTGAATATTCGATTTAAACAACTTCTTCATTCTTCATGTGTATTATTTAAAATTTATTATTGTTTATTTGGATATGATGAAATTATGAACATATTTAAACAATTTATGTTTTCTAATCGACATCAAATATTTTCTATACATATAACTTTTATACTTCAAGATAGTTATTTTCTTTCATCATTTTTATTTGATTCATCGTTTGATCATCTTGAATCAATTTTTTTTAAAGATATTCAATCTGATACACTTATTCCAGTTCTAAAAAATTTATCTTCTTTACCAAATCTTTTCTCATTAACGATCATAACATTCAATGTTAAAGAAAAAATCAATGATATCTATCAATTGATATTTGTTTTACCTAAATTAAAATATTATCGAATTTCTTTTTCTGATAAACCACATTCAATTACACTTCCAATAGCTATGAATAACCAATTCAGTCCTATTGAATATTTTGTTATTGATCATTATTGTTCGTTGAACGAACTTGTAACTTTAATTTCTTATACAACACAACTTCGGCGTTTAACTCTTCATAAAACAAAAACGAATGATTCAAATATTACGATATTATCATCAATTACATTAACTAATCTCAAATCGATGTATTTGGATTTACGTCAAACAAAATTTAATCAACTAGAAATATTTATTACAAAAATATTTTCAAATTTAACAATTTTATCTATTATTGGATCAAAAGATATTACTTTTCTTGATGCTTATCGATGGGAACAATTAATTTTTAATTATTTTCCTAAGTTAGAAAAATTTTATCTATTCTATGATGATCAAGTTGATAATGAACAAGAATATCCGATATATACTGGAGGAATGAACAAATTTTCTTCATCATTTTGGATTAAACGACAATGGCTATTTGAAGTTGAAATTAGTGGAACACATATCGAATACATAATTCGCCCATATAGGTATATAGAAAAATAATTCCGACAAAAAAAATGAATAATTTTGGTTATTTTTAGTAAAAGATGGTATGATGATATAGAACACGATATTGTTAATTGTTCTGTTGAACATTCTACATTTACTGATTTGACAATCGAACCCATGCCTTGTTATGTGTTTGAAAATGTGGTGTTCAAAGCAATTGAACGTATTTTAACAATAACACATATTTATCACTTATATATTCTCCAGAAAAAGATCTCAATTTCTACATTGATTCAAACTTTTGCTCTATTACCAGACATAACTACATTAAAAATTCATTCCTTATCAATAGACAAAACAAACGAATCAACTGCTGAAGAACTTCTGATTTTGTGTTCCATGAAAGATACAAGTAAAGTTACCAAAGTCTATCTTGAAGAAATTGGTAATATTCAAGAACTTGATTTTCTTTTCACTCTTTGTCCTTATATGGAACATTTCAAAGTTAAATATATAAATACGATGGATGTTCAATCGTTTATACGTACTATTTTCAAGAAAATTAATCGCAATAATAATTATTCTCTTCGTTCATTATGTTTTCATGTTTCAACAGCAGTTGATGAAATAATTAAAAATATTGAAGAAATGATTATATGTGAAAAATCACTCTCTCATTTTAAAGTTAAATGTATATTGGATACTGTTTATTTACAATGGAAATGACTTGAATATATATAGTTTCTTTTTGTAAAATTTAATTTAATAAAATAAAATGTTTTGAATTAATCAATGATTATTTTTCATAAATATAATTAAATTAAGAAACTTATCTTAATATGTTTAGAACTTCTATTGATAATTTGTAAAATTAATGTTTGTATGAAATCTTTGATTATATTGGCGATTATTAACTATCTAAATTCTTCATCACTTTTAATTAAAATCAAATATGAATTAAAATTCAATGATTCAATTAGCAATGTCTTCATCCAAATTATACTCAAGAATAAATATCGAATATGTTAATTTCACTTATCATTCATGTCATGTACGATAAAATTTTTTCTATTATTTATTTGTCTGAAATTAATCATTATTAACGGATGAGTTTAAGATCTACTCTTTATCCACATTCACATCCTAGTTCATTGTTTGTAGAAGAGCCATGAAGATGAGCTTGAAAATGAAGTTCATAACGTACAATGAGTGGCTCGTTAATAAAACGCGAAGGAGAATAAAATGAAAACGTGTGGGGTACATGCATTTGGAATTTTTCGTGGAAATGTGTGCTTTCAAGTTGCTTAGTTTTTTCCAAATTTCGGTGCAACATATTGAAAGTTTTTTTTTTCTGACAGGACCTAACTCCAAATATCGAACTAGGGTCACTGATATTCACTGTATCAGCACTTATTTCGGATTATGTACGTCGACGTCAGAGAATTTTTTTCCCGATCGACCTATATATCAGTTAGTAATTCAATGAGTGACATGCATTCCTCGCCAAAAATCACTGTTTGATTTTAACACATGTCAAATAATTTTTTCAAAATCCAATAAACTTAAATATAGTTTATTCATTGGTTTTTGTTGTAATCGAATTTATTCTGAATGAATAAACACGAAGTCACTTTTAGCATAAACTACACATAGATCATCTGTCTCACCAGAATTTTCTTAAAATTTAGAAACGTATCCTAGGTTGAAGAATTCACGGATTATTGGATTGTATTCTTATTAGAAAATAAAACGAAATATATCGGGAGTAAAACTTGAAAACAAAATAATCAATCGATAGAAATTTTCATGTGAAAGAAATGATATATTGAGAGCTACTGGAAAATTGATGGTAAAATCTGCGATTATTTTTTTGTAAAAATATGTACTTGAAGAATTAAAACCGTAAGGGTCACCAAACCTGTTGAATTTTGAGAGAGAACAAGACGAAAATTTTCCATGATTACTTCGTCTGACTCGTTCGATTTTTCATTTCCGACTACATTTGTGAGAGTAGAAAGGAAATTTTCCAGAGCAAGATTAGGTATACGAGAAAGAAGAACAAATCTCAAGAGAGAAAAGCGGATCCCGTCTATCCGGGATACGGTGAGGATACCTGTTGCATACATACGATAAAATTTGACGCAGTCAATAGAATACATTACATATTATACATCAAGGGGAAAGCTGAGTTCTTTCAGACTAACTCATTATTATATCATATATTTCAAAAAAAAAGCTCAAAACGCTCTATTTTCAATCAAAGAGGATGTGTCAAATAATGAATTTAGCGTCCGAAAAAATCTGAATCGCATTTTGTTATCTTGAGAATCAGCATTCATTCCTTATTAGTGTTTAAAACTTTATTTTAAATTTTATAATTACTCATTTTGTCATACCTGAAGCCACTGAGGGATCGAAAAAAAAAACTGCTGTTTGAGTTTTACTGGAAGTACTTGTTAAATCGAGTTCAATATGCTGATCAAAAATATTGCATTTTTTTTTTCAAAATTACTCGAATAATAAGAAACATCTGAATCAATTTTTGAAAGCCCTAAAAAACAGTTTTTGACTTCAAAGTCCATTGAGATCAACTTTTTATCCATCAAAAATAGGTTCCTTGGATGCAGAATTTTTTTTCTATCAGAATCTGTAAGAAAGCCTGAGCCATTCGAATTTTTTCCAATCGATAATCGCCAAATACCGCCCCAATTTGGTCACATGGATAGTCATCTTGATTATTTTAGTTTTATGAACCGACACTTAATATGGATACACCAGTGAGATTTTTTTAAACAAATGTCCAATCCCAACTTGCTCTTTCTGATAATACCATTTTCAACTTGAAACTTAATGTTGATTAAAATACTTGTGCTATATCTACGATACTTGAGAACACTTTTGGACAGTATTTGATGACTTTTGAATAGAATACGTATTTGCAATTATTTCTAAGACTTATTTTGGGTAAACTTTTCAGCCCTGATCTCCCTCAGAGATTTTGAAAAAAATGAACTTCATCAAAGTAACTAATTGAAAATGTAGATATTTCTTATTTTGCTCTCAGATGGAATAATAAAAAGTCAGAACTGCGTCTCCGTAAACAAGGTGAATTTTATATGAAGTTCATATTTTGCAAGATCCCTAGAAGTGAGACAGAACTATTCATCACTTATGTTTCATCTTGTTAGATATGAATTATTCATATGTTTGATTGATTTGTAATCTATTCTTTTCCCGCGCTTGTTTTCAATTTTCGATTATTACTAATAGTTTTCCTCATTGCTAAAAACTACTCACCTTATTCATTCTTTCTCTTTTTGTTTCAAAAGCTCATTCTTATTTTGGACATTTTGTTCGCTTTATTCTACTTATGCTTTAACCTTCGTTTCCAATTATGAAATAGATTCTTGAACTTTAATTCACCCCAATTTATCAACTCTATTATTAATGTTGTTTTTCATCATCATCACGACACTTTGGCGTCATTAGTTACGTTTTATTCGATCATTGTTATACTTAACCAACTCAGACATAACAGGAAGACCTGGCTTGAAAAGCTTACCCCAAAAAAAAAAGTTTTAGCAACAATATCTAACCGACACAGACCAACTCAGTTTTTTTTCTGTTGCTTTCAAAAATGATATTTTTTCAAGTCAATCTTACTATCTTCTATTCGGAAGCTATCGAATACTGTCCATAAGGGTTCTCAACTCTAGTATAAATAATACGAGCAATTTACTAGACATTGCATTTGAAGTTGAAAATGGTATCATCAGAAAAAGTAAGTTGACTTATACAGTCGAAAAGAAAATATCGCTAATTCACTTGTATAAAGTTTCAGTTCATAAAGCCACAACAATCATTATTTGTAACTATATGATTCAAATAGTGGGGTATTTAAAGGTTATCGATGAGGCTGGACAATATTCCCTCAAAACGAGAAACTGTTCCCCTTCTAGTAGAAATCCTTCATCTCACAAAAAAGCAAGCAGACACACTTCAACATTAGAAATTATTTCACTAACATATGAACTCTTTCGCTTTAGAAATCAAGAAAATGATTTTTAACCTGGAAATGAGAAGCTGATCCGAAACAAGTAGAAATGAAGAACGTCAAGTTTTTATAGTTCAAGGTGCCATTGTGGCGAAATGGGTTTTATACAGCAGAAATTTAAAATTTTCAAGAAGATATGTTTCACATGATGGAAAATGAGTGACGAAGATATACTTGGATGCTTTTTTCTTTTGTCCTCATCATAATGTTTATCAAGAGAAAAGAACGATCATTCTTTGAATGGAAGTTCTAGTGAAGAAATAGTGCTGTATAAATGTATATAGATGTATGTGGATAAACATGTGTTTTGCCATTTTTGCTTGTTATGTATGAATTGTTTTGATGTGCGATGAACGATTTCTACATCGATTTATCATATCGTTCACTATTCCTTATTATCCAAGTAGATTTTTAAAAAATACGGCACTTTCAATTAGCACATAGAACTCTATTGAACAATTACTGATTTCATTAAAACCAAAGCAAAACAAATTTCAATTCTTGTGGGGGACCCTGATATGAAAAAAAAATCATTGTAAAATTTACAAAAAACGTTTTGAAAAATAATCAGAGATGAATGCTGATTCTTAGGATGAGAAAATTGGACTCAGATTTTTCGGACACAAAGTTTACAATCTGACAAATGTTCTTTTTCAAAAGCCTCAAATTATTCAAAAAACGCAGTTGTCAGCCTTGTTTGAGCTTGGATAAAAAGCGGGTCTCAGAGTTCATTGCATTCCTAATATATCATCTTTATCTTCCGTATCCCTAAGGTATCCTCATCGCATTCCAGATACGAAGACTCCTCGCGAATTATGGTATTCTGGACATGGAGAATACCTGGATTTTCTTCTTCCTTCTTGCTTGATATCCATCTCCTTGATGATATGTTTCAGTTTCTGATGTTGACAGGGAGCTTTTCTTTGCTCATTGTTACCTGACATGAAGATTGAAATATTTCTGATGTCCTTTCCGGTGATCCTAGTTCATATAGTTCAATGTTTTTATTACTTGACAATATGTAGAATACGTCGAAGATATGAAGAATATATTGAGGATTCCAAGGATCCACAGGATACATTGGGGATCCAAACATTTAGATAATATACTCCTAGTAAGATCAATGCAAACGTATGGTAATATTTTAAAATAATATTTGTTTTTTTATTTTTGTACGCTACTTTTTTCTATCATGAATATTCAAGTTATTGAAAAATATTTATTAATAAGTTAGTTAGTTTTTTTGTTTTTGCTAATATTATTAATATATGAGTACTATGATAATGATTATGAGACATTGACGCATCTTGTTTTATGATGTATTTTTTGCGTGATGAACATGTTACTATAAAATTAACTTGTGTTCATTTTTGTATTAATTCAGTTAAACATTTCTTAAGAATAAAATTGTGATATTTTCAAAATAATGAAATAAACTGGTTAGAAGATGATCGAGATGTTTAATATATGTTTCACTTAATACAAAAATCCATGCAATCAAAACAAATGCTTAAAGGATCAAGTTACACCGATAGAATTCAATAGAAATGATCAATATTTTATTGAAATTAATCCACTTTTCAAAGGAACACAATTTGGTTGAAAAATAAATGCAATAAGTAACTTATCCGCGTTCAAACGGTGCATTTTCCTATTTAAATTATCTGATTAT